GCCCAGCATGAAGGATCGCCGTGTTAAGTGCCACACACCCCAGTGGAGGATTACTAACTCGGTCAGAGTTGGGGGCTATTCCCCAGGAAGAAAAGAATTGTCTAGTAATTTTCGGGAAAGGTAACCTCAGCCCAACATGAAGGATTGCTGTGTTAAGTGCTACACACCCCAACGGAGGATTACTAGCTCGGTCAGAGGATGATGGTATTACTAACTCTACGGAACTAGGAATGCCATACTTGGCCCTAATACTAGCCAACGTACCCTCCGTAGCCATCGACCTAAAAGAATCAGCACTCCACTTCTGACTACTACTCTCACTGGCTACCCGCGACCTCTCCTCCCTTATCTTTCTCTGTTGCTCCATGCTCCTAGGGGAATTATATGGTGGTAGAAAGAAGGAAGATATGGGGATAGGAGTTAATACTTCCTGGCAATCTGAACTGGCAGAAGAGGGGCGGCAGAGGAAGAAGAAGAATTTTCTTGATTATTACCCCAGGATCGTACCTAGGATTCGTTCGAACTCATATTAAAAACTCCAGAAAAAGAATGTATGTAAAACATAGAAATAATGAGGTATTCTCGATGAAAAAGAATACCTGAGAAAAGCCAATCTCAAAAAGAAAGCGAGAGGAAAAATATCTAGAGAGCAAAATTTCAAATTCAAGAATGCAAAAAGTAGAAAAATAAGAGAGAAAGAAGCTATTTAAAGGGGTAGAATACCAAGGATCCCAATCCAAATCGTTTGAGTAAAAGAAATAAATGAATAGACGACTGGAATTAAAAGCTTCAAATGGAAGGAACCCAGCTGCGGAGCAGCTGGCATGCAAGTTATCCTGTACCATGTGTCCTCTACATTTATTGAAGTAATTATTGCAAAAATAGGAAAAACACGGTTAGTTTAGAATTTCCACAGTCCCTCATATAGGTCGACACTGACTTGGGAGGCAATTGCTGACAGCTACCTCCTAGGTGATTAAGGTCGGATTGATCCACGTCATTAGTAAAACATATGTTGAGCTCGGTCGTGTGAGGTCAGCTCGGAGGTGGATACCTTCTGCGAGAAGCTTGTGTAGTCTTTCAAGGCAATGAAGAAGGTAATGATTGAGAATCTCTGACAGGATATATGAGTCACCAATCACATAAATGCAGTTGGAAAGGTCTTACATTAGCGCCCACATAATCCTCCAATCATAAGTGTTAGCAATGCATTAATTGTTGGGGGCCACTTTCAATTAATGCTCTGAAGTAATCTGACATAATCTAGCTCAACAGCCAATCTTATCGCACCAGCCACTGTACTTCTTCAGCTCGAAATTCCAGTGAAAAGATAGGAGGTGCAGCATGCATGCTTGTTTTCCCTATAAATAGGGATCTTAAGCCCAAAAGGAAGGGAGACGTGAATACAAGCATATACAAACTCTTTGTGCCAATCAAATCTTAAAGGTCGATCCCTCATATAGGTCGGCACTGACTTGGGAGGCAATTGCTGACAGCTACCTCCTAGGTGATTAAGGTCGGATTGATCCATGTCATTAGTAAAACATATGTTGAGCTCGGTCGTGTGAGGTCAGCTCGGAGGTGGATACCTTCTGCGAGAAGCTTGTGTAGTCTTTCAAGGCAATGAAGAAGGTAATGATTGAGAATCTCTGACAGAATATATGAGCCACCAATCAGATAAATGCAGCTGGAAAGGTCTTACATTAGCGCCCACATAATCCTCCAATCATAAGTGTTAGCAATGCATTAATAGTTGGGGGCCACTTTCAATTAATGCTCTGAAGTAATCTGACATAATCCAGCTCAACAGCCAATCTTATCGCACCAGCCACTGTACTTCTTCAGCTCGAAATTCCAGTGAAAAGATAGGAGGTGCAGCATGCATGCTTATTTTCCCTATAAATAGGGATCTTAAGCCCAAAAGGAAGGGAGACGTGAATACAAGCATATATAAACTCTTAGCATATTCTCATATTTCAAATATCTCATATTACTAGGAAAAGAGAGGGATTATATCATATTTTTGTAAACACTTGGTTATTTCAATAAGAATTTCACGTTTCTTTCCTTAAGTTGGCTTGAATATCGTTGATACAAATTTCAACGTCAACAGTCAATTTGAATTTGTAATTTCGCGTCATTATTGACCTAGTGATTGTCCAACTGATCATGCCAAACAATAATGCATTTAATAATTGAACTTCTAGTTCAATATAATATTTGTTTCAATCGTACCACACATTTTAGAAACTTAATACTTTTTTTTTTAAATTTTGGTAGAGAATAAATTACTATCAATAGTAAACTTTTATCCTCCCACATAATGCAATATTAACTCTTCTAGAGTATCAAAACAATGTTCATCTTCAATATTAATATATACTTAGTTATGATTATTCACAAGTAATAGAACAATATTTTTTCAGGAATATTGATATAAATAAACTATTGCTTATTTAGCAACAACTTAATTAAAATTGCAATTCTTCAGGATCAATATAATAATTACATTGAAATGTCTAAATAACGATTCTTCAAAAATAAAAACATAATATTCTTCAAGAATATTAATAAATATAAAAGTGTGCTTCTTTCAGAGCAACACAATATTGTTCAAGAATATTGATTTGTATTAATTGATTCAAATAAATCTACAATACTTTTCTGGAATATATAAATGTCGGATCGTATTTTGTTTTAGAATAACAATAATATCAACTCTTCAAGAGTAATGACATATTATTGTTTAGAGTAACAAATTATTCAAGAATTTATTCTTTAGGAGTAAAAATATCATTTATGTTATATTTTACATTATTATGCATTTCGAAAGCAAGTAAAATCTAACTAAAATATTAATGAGAATTATAATGTACTACTCTGAGAGCAAATTATATGTTATCATTACTTCTTCAAGTACAATATATCAATATTCCTCTGGAATATTGAAAATTATAATTCATATTCTTCAGGAGCAAATACACGAGCAAATAATATTGTTCTAGAATATTAATTATAGTATTGTGCTACTTTGGAAGCAACAATATGATATATTATCAATTTAAAATTTATAAAGGAACATCTAAAAATATTTAATTTGGTCAAAAACATTAATTATCATACAGACATGATGTGATATAAAAATTAATCACCAAACATGTATTAGGAAAAAGAATCTTTATATATAGAAGTTAACATAATTGATTAAATATTTTATTGACTAAATCTTTCATCAACATGCGAAAGATACCAAACATGTGAATTCACATGCGTAGAAGTTAAATGCATGAATCACTTCAAAATTAATTTTACATACACGAAAGTTAAAGGTATGAACTCCAGATATCAAAATGCATGAATTAAATGTATGAATCAATAGATTTGTTTGTTTTATTAAGAACCAAAGTTCCATATAATAGGGAAAAAGTAGGGATACAATGATTGTAATGACTAGGGCTGCAGAGATATAAAAGTCATTCATAAATACTACTATATTTACAACACTTTTCTAATTTTAGGGTTCCAAATTTTTAATGGCATCTAGTTATGTGCAATCCTTAATTAAGAAAAATGTAACCCTTAATTGTCTCTGATTACCTTATTTAACATTAAAATGTATAAAATTTACTTGATAAGAAGAGAAAATCTTCAACTACAACGTCTAGATTCAATACATAGTGTCACAATATATATACACACGCGCGCGCGAATTTAATTTCTTGAGCACCAGGTGACGTGACACACTAGCATATGTGGTGTAATCAATTTTGTATCTAACCATTATCTCCCACCATATTGTTCAGTATAGTTCGAGACTTGTTCCAAGTACTATGATTTTATCAGTAATTACAGACATAAGATCCGTAGGAGATCATACATTAGATTGAGATGTATCACGTGATTGGACAATATTACAACTTGAATAGAAACATATGTTTGTATGCATCAATGGTTTCAAGACGACGAAGATGGCCTTTCAACATCTTTTCAAATGTGTAATTTATATTAATCACGTAGAATTGTAAGTATAGTTCGTTTCTTTAATCGTTATTATTTTATTTATTTAATTATTTTAAAAATTTTGTACATATAATATTCATTCGTGTATAGTTTCAACTTCACACTTATTATAGATGACCTCAACCTCGAATAGAGGATTTTTTACAACATTATAATACTTTGTCAAAATATTATTTTTTACGTTTCTCATATCCTTCTCACGTAAATAATTATTTTGAAAAAAATATAGTTTCCTCACGTCTTCATTATACTTTGAAATGAGAGAGTACAATTAACATTTTAATTAATGAATCATAAAATAAAAGTGACTCACGAGCTAACTCGATTTGCCCCAACAAGGGATGAGCCAAGCCATCTTTGATGAAGTGATCCAGGTCGAGCTCGATTGGCCACGTAGGTGACTCGTGCCAAATCGCATGATGAGCCGAGTCGAGCCGAGCCAAGCACAGCACGATAATGAGCAAGCCGAGCGCTGGACCCAACCCTTTCATCACCCCCAAGATTTTTGGTCACTTGTGGACAAAAAGTTTCTTTAAATTTACATTAATTATATTTCAACAACTTAAAGTCGTAAATCCCAAGGATCCATAGATACAAATTGAACCAAATTCAATTAAAGAAATATTGCACAAGTACAACATGATATAAAGGATGACTAGTTTTTTATGTCAAACGTTTGACATATTGTTGAATTTGACTATTCTGTACCTTCTCATGAATTTCTGACATGATGATAACGAGTAAATTTAATCAACAATCACTGAACTTTCAAGTTGTTATCACTTACTCATTGAACTTTAATGCGTTATCAAACACTTGATTACCCATCCACCACTCACTCCATTTCTGTCTCTTAAAATTGACAGAAAATTACATGTGGCTGACGATTTTCTTACGTGGCAAACACCCCATGTTAAATTGCCAACGTGTAATTAAACACATGACTCTTCTCCATTTAACTCACGCTTCTCCCCATTCTCATGACATCTCTGCCTAAATTCAAACCCTTAATTCCCAAATTGAAACCCCTCAATTCCCAAAACCCAAGCCGTCCGCTCTCGGTGCATCATCTCCACACCACGAAGGATACCGCCATGAAAAATCAGTGTGCTGCTGTTGTTGTTGGCAGGTTAACCAGTGTGCCATGAAAAATCGAGAAGCTGCGTAACATTTGCGGAGGTAGCAGGTGGGACGGCGGCGGAGTGTGCGGCACTCTCGACGGTGCCACAAGCCGACTATATTTGGCGCATTATTTTGATGTTTGGAGCCATCCCAGCTGCACTCTCTTTCTACTGGATTATGAAGATAAGGCCCTTGTAGCCAAAAATGCAAAATTGTCAGTGCAAGACATGGCCAAAGTGTTAAATGCTGAAATCGAAGCTGTAAAGGAGAAATTAGAAAAAATAACTGAGGCCAGCAAACTCATTTGGCTTATGGATGAATTGGATGGAAAACCACTGGAGGAGGCATCAGGTGAAAATGAATTGGATGGTGATGAGATAACAGAGCAGACTGCTCCTTCCCATAAGATTGTTCCAGTTTAATAGTCTGGTTAAATTTGTAGTTTGAAATCCTTAAAGAATAAATTGTATTGCCAGTTCCATTTTGGATACATTGTCTTACATTTCCTTGTGTTGGTTGTTGTATAGTGGTTGTTTTGTTGGTGGGGCCGAAGCAGAATGTCATACATTTCCTTGTAGTTGGATTATGTATATGTAGTTGGTTGTTGTAACTTGGCTGAATGATCTTTGTACTATTGAATGAATGAATCATGTTATAACTTGGTTTGAAAATTGGATTGATTGAGGTTATTGAACATTGGATTGATGGAGGTGCATAAATGTGATGCATTAGATTGAGAAGCTTCAATTTAATGCACCAGCCAAGGTGCATCATCTAAGAATCAGGTGCTGATGCACCAACTTCCGTCCCGCCTGGACGCAACAAAATGACCAGGTTGCGGCCGGGAAAATCTGGTGTCCATGACAGCAGTCTAGGCGTTGCCTAGAAAATTCGGGTGTGACTGCAGTCACTGCGACACAGGCTGCAACACAGGCAGTCATCGCAGGCAGATTGCAGGCAGCTCCCA